CCGGGCCTCGCCGCGGGGATTCGCGCTGCCCGGCCGCGCTGCCCGCAGCGGTTCCGTTTCTGTCAGTCAGAAGACGAAATGTCACTTGCTTTACTTCCCGAGTCCTTCTCCCTTTTTTCCTTCTAGAAGTAGCTGTGCAAAACCGTAACGGGTTTGTTTCCCCTGGGGTTTCGTGTTTCAGCCATGCTCCGCTTGCCCTCAGTGCTCCGTCAGGCCAGGCCCGTGTCCCGCGCCCTCGCCCCGCACCTCACACGGGCTTATGCAAAAGATGTCAAGTTCGGGGCAGATGCCAGAGCTCTCATGCTGCAAGGAGTCGATCTTCTAGCAGACGCTGTAGCTGTCACCATGGGGCCCAAGGTAAGGGAGGGTTTTACATTGGGTTTGTGTTCCTTCTGGGACTTGGTTGAGAACAGTTTTCCCTGGGCAGAGCTGTGTGATGACTGCAGACCTGCAGCACAAAAACGTGCACACGGGCTGGCAGCCGCGTTCTCAGCTCTGTCACCTCAGCCCTGGTACTGATGCACGTGCCTTTCATACTAACGGATTATAATTCGTTGGGCCACTGAAAGGTGCAGTATGTTTGTTTGAGCAGGGTGAGGGTGGTGGGGATGTGCATGATCGGTGACCATGGCTTGGGTGATGGCCTGTAGCAATGAAGTAGGTACATTAACTGTATGTGTATTGTGAGCTGGGTTCATGTGATTTTTGTCTCAATTGTTTTACAGTTTTTTATCGCTTTCTTTTGGCGTTAACAAAGTTAAAGCAACATGGAAAGTGTTATGTTTTCTGATGACTGGTACATTATATCATCCTAAGTTCAGTGGCAGTTGCATTCATTCACGTTGGTTACAGGACAAAGTACAGTGCATGGTTCTTTGTAAATTCTAGGTCTTCTGGAAGTCTAGCTGCTGTATTCTGCATAGTCATGCGACGTGCAGTAGGGCTTGAAATGAGATGCCTCTTTAAGGAAGAGGCACTGATTTTCTGTGGGCTCATAGGAATATCTGTTCCACATTGTAGCAGCATATGCGTGGTAGTTTTGAGGCTGCTTGGCCTCTGTAAAGCTCATTCATTCTTGCACTTTCTTTGGTGCTGTTAGTTTTATTCAAAGGCAAAAATTCCATAAGATGATCAGACAAAAGCTAAGGAACAGTGTCAGCAAACTGGCTGTTTTCCATAAAGGAACAAAGTTTAAGTGTAGTTGGTTAATTTAACTCTGTTTGTTGGTTGTTTTTTTTTGAATGAGGCTGCTTTGGAAATGCCCAAGCATAGTTCTAATGCACTGGTTAAAGGGCAGTTCCTGATGCAACTTACTGTAACTTCCTAGGATTTTTGTTCCAGTGTTCTCACCTTTTCTGCTGTTCTCCCTGTATTGTATAACTTCAGGGACTGTATTGTAATGACTGATTCTGCTTTCATAATTTTTAAGAAATGCCACTCTGGTGAGGAAAGTTCCCTTTGGCATTGTTCTGTATTTAGAGAAATGTGGTTTGCAGTCTCATGCAATCTTTTGATATTGTTGCCAACATGATGATTACTTTGTCAGAACTAGTTTATGTGAGTGTTTTGATTCTTGATATGCAGGACTATTCAAAGTGCACGTGTGTTTGCTGGTGGTGTTCCTTTTTTTTTAGAAACAGATAAAAAGTGTTTGTTGAGTACAAATCCTTCTTTAATGTGATAAGATACGAGTGGATTTTGTTGTGCTGCTCTCCTCACAGCTACCAGACAAACATTTTAAATCTGACCATGTTGAAATAGAGAATGAAATTAGGCAAAACAAGGAGAGGGTACATGAGGAACCTACCAGTAGTAGGATCCTCGAGAGAGAGTTTACTTACTCCAGAGCCACGTTTAGATTTAGGAGATGTGCAGGTCAAATGAAGTAGCTGCAAGAAGTCAGATTATGCATTATTTTGGCACAATTGGTCAGCTCTTTCACAAGTTCCATGTTAGTAGCTGAAGCTTTAACCTTTCCTTTGCAGCCTCCAGGGTTAGTTGTACGTGGGAAGCAGTGTAGCCTCCCACATGGCAGGAATCCCCAGTTAGGTGCATCATTGAGGTAGATGTGAGTGAGCTCTGGGAGCAAGGAGCACAGTGCACTGTAGTGGTAGCTGCTGTGTGGGAGCCCTTAGCCAGATGCTAGGCACTCATCCAACGTCTGGCTGGAGCTGAAGCCACACTGGAACCCCATCAGCTATGGCAGTGTCACCCAGGAGGAACCTGGAGCTGACAGACCAGGTGAAGGGACTTGTGCAGGGTCAGCCAGGATTGACAGTGGTGAGGTGAGGCAGTTCCTCTCCTTTCCCCTCTCCCAGCAGCTCCAGCTGTCAGGGTAGCTGAAGAGTTTCAGGGCAGCACTGACCAAGGTGGCTCCTTGAATTTCTGCTGCCTCCAGCTTGAACTGGACACGATTGATTGCATCAGCTATTCCAGCTATTGAATTCATCTGGGAACAAGTAATTCTCTTGTGCAGATGCATCATCTGCCCTGTGTTCCCCACATAGTCCATAGTTGCCCAGTTTAACTGTCTGTATACGGTGCATAGGATATTCCAACCTTTTAGTTCAGTGCAAATACAGGCTAAGAGAAGAGCTGCTTGTAAATTTTCAACCTTTCAGTAATTATTGCAACACACTAACACAGATTTGATAAGTATTTTCTGTTCTCTTTTTCTCGTC